CGTGACTTCAGGAGACAGACTAGGAAGCGGTTGAAATAGCCCAGGAGGGACAATGTGGCCTAGATTGGCCAGCAGTCTTGGACGTGGACAGCCCCAGATTTCTGTGTCTGGATCAACCTCAAAGTCAAAGGCTGGATTTAAGTCTCAGAGGGGGCCTACTGCTTTTCCATAAGTCATGCAGTGGCCTTGCCATTCATTGCCAGTGTCCCAGGCCCATCCATCTTAGACATACCAGGGCTGTCTGTTAACTGGCCGAGGCTGCCCTCTGCTGGCAGAAGTGGGGCACTAGCGCAAGGGGAGCAGCTGCCTCCCAAAGAAACTCCAGATTGAAAGAGACAGAACATCTGCCCCCCACCAATCTTCTCCACCTCAGTTAATGGCATCTCCATCATTTATCTAGTAGCTCAATTCAGAAGCCCAAGATTCAGTTCCTCCTCTTTCCTCACTGCCCATCAAGGAGTCTTATTTTCTATTCTCTTTTTATTAGCCCTGATTCTATTTTCTAAATTAAATCCTAAACCAGGAATTTCCTAAATACATATTCATCACCTCTACTTCACTCCTTCTCTACCAGAACCACCCTAGCCAAAGCCACCACCATCTCCTCTTTGGTCTATTTATTCACTTTTACTCTTGTCCTGGCCAACCCATTTCCCACTCAGCAGCCAGAGGGCTCATGGTATCCTCTGATTCCATAGTCCTTCCTCCTCGTACCAAACAGTGTTGGACCAAATATACACACAGCCCCACCCACCCAGGGCACTCTGCAGGCGTGGAAAACTGTATGACAATGGGGGAGCTCACATCAGAGTCTCACAAACAAGAAACTTGGCCACCCCGTGTGGTGTCCCAGCCTCACACCATCTCACTGACTTCTTTCCTCTCATTCATTGTTGTCTGTCTCTTTCTCTCCCTTCCACACACTTCTGTTCAGTTCTAATGCAAAGCCTTTCCTGTTTCTTTGGCACCTGCCAATCAGAGCTCTTAGGGTCTCACATTCCCCTCAAGCAGATTGTCAAGGTACCTTCCCATACTATACATACATACAGTTCCCTCCCTAAGAAAAATATCAATGCTACGGCAGTCACATTCCACCCTGTGTACACTGTGATGCTAACATTCTATGACTCTAACATTCCATTATTCCAACATCTTTTGCCCACGATTACAGAAATCCTCACTGACCCCAGATTCAGACCATGTAATGTAAGCCTCACCCACAGTGGAGGCCTCATGACAGTAGAGCTGGACACCCTGACTATGCTGTTAAAAGGAAGCTCATTAACCCAGGAGTCTCCAGGTTCCCGAGGCAAATCATGACATGTTAACTCAGCTCATGGGGGCTGCCATTTGTAGCACACGGTTTTTCTGTGAAAAACGATAAAGACAGTATGTAGAGAAAAGCAAAGAGGATTCTGACAGCATAGACACACTGGTTTCTGCAAGTAACTGAGGCCCAGCTCTGTCCCTGTCTGTCCTCTCCAGAGCTTTGGTTATTTACCTCTTTCCTTGGAGTTCAAGAGCCTATACATTCCTGCCTAAAGTGCTTCAAGCTGGATGTCTAGCCCTTGCAAACCAAAGAACCCTAACTCACTGTCATATGGCATTTGCCATTCCCTTTGCAATTCCAGCCTGTCCCAAAACCAATAAAAGAACAAAGGGAACTCTGAAATGACAACTTTGTCTTTAAGTCTTTAAAGATATTTTACTTTGTTTTTTGACTGTCAAGAGCTCATCATATTCATTCCTTCATCAACAGTGATTGTCATCACTGTTTTTTCGCAAGAGCCTTGTTCCATTTTACTTACCTACTTATTTTTTTATCTTAATTACCAGTTCCTACTCCCATTCCCATCCCTCTGTAAGCAATCATTCTAATGTACTTGGCATATATTCTTTAATATGTAAATATCCTCATTAGCTTTGTGATGTTGCATAATTTACATAAATCATATTGGCAATTTTTCTTAATGCTCAGCTCCGTGTTTTAAAGATCTGTACATGTCGATGAGTGTTAGGGGGATTTAAAGGCCCTGCAGCCTCAGCAAATAATAAGAACAGTAAACCTTTATAAAGTTTTACTGCTTTCCTGCTCATTCTCTCACAAGGATCAAGAACTCAGGATCACATGGGCTCATGAAGTAGAATATACCTTTTAAAAATAAGGACGTTCTCCTACACTTGCATTTCTCAAACTAAATGTGCATGTAGATCACCTGGAGATTCGGTAGGTCCGATGTGGAATCTGAGATTCTGAATTCTTACAGGTCCCCAGGTGATGCTGCTGCTGCTGGTCTAGGGTCCACATCTTGATTAACAAGGTCCTACAGAACCACAATACCATTATCACACCCAAACAATCCATATTCAAATTTTCCCACTTGTCTGGACATTTTCTTTATAAAAATGTTGTGATCCAGGCTCCAATCAAGGATGACACATTACATTTTGTTTTCACCTCTCTTCAGTCTCGTTTCACCTGCAGCAATCCCATGGGTTTTCTTTTTTCATGGCACCGATAGTTTTAAGAGTCCAAGCTAGTTGTCATGTTTTCTCATAAAAAGAGGCAGGTTAAACATGGTTGGTGAGAAGACCACACAGGTAATGTGTCCCCCACATTGCACCACAGCTTGTCATTTTGTCCCATCCCATTTGGTGACACTGAGTTTGATCACTTGGTTCAGGGATTGTCCACCAGGTCATTCTATTAGAAAAAAAATTTCTTCCTTTTATAATAAGTCATCTGTGGAGTAACACTATAAGACTGTGTGAATATCCTGTTCCTCAATAATCTTTCTCCTAATAGTTTTAGTATCCATTGATGATCCTTGCTTCTTATTTTTATAATATTTAAACATGTAATAGTGTGTGCAAGTGTGTGTATATGTGTGTGAGCATATGCGAAAAAAAATGTAAAAACTAAAAGCAATTCA